AGACATTTGAGTAGGTAGATTGCTTCTAATTACTTTCTCTATTTCCAAACAACTATCCTTGCTATTTTCGAAAATACACACATTTCCAAGACATTTTTACAAACATTGAAAACATTGTCAAAAAGACAAACATCTTTGTATACATTCTTACGAATGAGAATCATTACAAAGATTGGCTAAACGAATGGCCTCTTTTACAAAATACTTTCAAAAAACCACACAAAGCACAATTTTCAAACAAAAGCAAGTTGATCTAGCAAGTAACTAAGATCCCATGGAAAACCATGGATGAAAAGGATGCTAATACCTTCCCTTTTCATAATCTACCCCCCGAACTCAAGAAAACATCTCAAAGGTCTTTCCTGTGATTTTTCACCTTTCCTTTTGGATAAAAGAAAAGTCGGTGGCGACTCTTGCTAAACCGCAACATTTGCGATAAAACGCAAAACCTCAAGTCAGTTCTCCCACCGTATCACAGAATTGGCGACTCTGCTGGGGAATTCTTAAAAGTGGGGTTACCTTAGGGCTAGATCACATTTACTTGCTTACATTGCTTGATTTGTTTGCTTTACATTACGGTTCTTGTTTTTGGGTTTGAATCCTCTACCCGTATTTGGGAACACATTATAGGTAAATAACAATATGTTGTGGAAACTGTGCGGGGTATACCGACATGGCCGAAGCAATAGCTATGTTAGTGTGACATATTTGTGGGTACGGGTAGCCCTTGAGTAGTCAAGGAGAATACGGGGCCGCTGAGTGATGTCGCGAAGCACTAACGAACTTTTAGAACCTTTACTTGACCAAATTGGCCTTTAGGGCGTAGTGAGATGACCGGCTTTGGTGCAGTCCGAAGTTGGTAGATACTCGATACTACACTCATTAAGGGTTGGTTTCTTGGAATATTTCGGTCGCCATTAAAGAGGCTTGAGCTGAAACAATGAACAAGGAAACAATCCAGTGATATTGAGCTCCTTAGAACCCGATTACTATTACTAGTACAGGTTGAGCCAACTAAACTTCAAGACGGTGCTTACCTATAAAACCCCATGCAAGCCTAAACTAGGAACTTGTTTGCTTTGCTTGTATATGCATACTTGTACATAACATCATGGACATCATGAACATCATATGCATCCACTAACCATTTCAAGGATTTCAGAGATTCATCTTTGTTCTTGTTTTGTAGGGGTATGGATTCACTTCGCAGGAAAACTATCCAAGTGTTTGCAGTGATTTCTGACAAACAACCGCTAGTCCTACAAACTATCAAATAATCTTAATGACTGTTATTTAATCTCTCTGGTAACTTGCAGGATCAACTAGATTGATCCTATGGAGTATTGGTCATTTGGATAATTCTCATTATAGAACTGATATTCATGGTTGGTATTTAGAATGTTGTGTGGGTGTTCAACTTACTTCGATTAATCTATTAAAGATCTAATGGAATGATCAAGTAAATACGTGCGAACTAAATTGCATGAATAAAGGTTTAATTGTAAAGACATGTAAAACTGCAAAAGACAAGTAAATAACTTCGAAGTATAAAAGCATGTAATGTAAAAGATTCTCTGGAATGTAAAAGACTCAAAATATAAAGAAAGCGTTTAAATACAAGGAATCAATAAAATGACTTTAAATGAAAAAAGGTGTTCGAATGATAAAAGCATGAGGATAAAGGCATGAAATGTACAAAAGTTTCTGAAATGTAAAAGGAACTGAAATGGAAAGAAAACATTTAAATGCAAGACATCAGTAAAAGACTTCGAATGAAAATACTTTAATGTAAAGGCTTTTGAATGATATTGACATGAAGATAGATGAAAGAACTGGAAATGATAAAGAGTTTTATTGAATTGTAAATATTTGGTGTTATCATACGTACATTGTTCGAGCATTCGTTTCCCTAGCCATGTGGTATTTTGAATGTTACTGAATTTTGTACAAATAGATATGACACACGAAATCCTAACGCTAAGACTTCTATTTATACTACTTCGACCATAACGGTCTTGCTATAAGATTCTGCCACGTTCAGAACATGCAAAGCAATGCCCTCCTCTCGCTTCCACGCGTCTTCGAATGCTCCAGCACATATATTTTAAATTTCGAACATCCCGCTTGCGTTTGAATTTCAAATGTTTTGGCACTCTTCGTTCCGAACTCGTTTCTTGGACACAGCCTTGTTACCATTTCGAGACTTCTTTGAATATATCCCCATAACTGTCACTCGAAGCTCAGAGTTTTGACATGCCCATTCGAAGCACTGCTTCTACCATTTCAAAACATGACATCTTGCTTTATTTCAATCGAAACATCCAACTTGCTTCGCTTCGAACAAAATCATCAAAATCTTCAGCCAACACCAAGTCAACCTTGTAAGAATTCCTCTGCAACTTAAGGAGCTAGCTTCAAGGATCCCCGAAAGCTCTCCTTTCACCGAGAGACATGGTCATCTGCTCAACTTGGTCACCTCCAACACGAAAGAGGATATGATGAAGGTGCTCTTTCAGTTCTTCGATCCTTTGCACCATTGCTTCACGTTTCCCGACTACCAGCTTGTGCCTACTTTGGAAGAATTCTCCTAACTCTTGAGAATTTCTGTTCTCAATCAACTACCTTTCAATGGTACGGAAAGAGACCCAAAGCCAGAAGAGATTGCTCAAGCCCTGCACTTGCACTCATCTGATGTCACAATTCATTGGGAAACTAGGAGTGGTGTCAAAGGCTTCTTAGCAAAGTTTCTGTTTGAGAAAGCCCAAATATGTTGGAATTCCTTAGACTTGCAAGCCTTTGAGGAAATTGTGGCCCTTCTTATCTATGGGATGGTCTTGTTCCCCAATCCGGACCAGCTCATAGATGTGAGCACCGTCAAAATCTTCATGTCACGCAACCCGGTGCCTACCTTGCTTGGAGATATCCTACACTCTTTTCACACTCGTACAATGAGGAAAAGAGGTGTCCTTATGTGTTGCACTCCTCTCTTGGCAAGATGGTTTATTTCTCATCTTCCCTAATCAGTCTTAAGGAATGAGCAAGGTTTAAGGTGGTCACTAAGGTTAATGACGCTCGAACATTCAGACATTCATTGGTGCTCCCGATCCAAAGAGAATGTCATCATCATTAACCATTGTGGGGAATTTCCTAATGTTCCTCTACTAGGCATTAGGGGAGGCATCACCTACAACCCATGCTTAGCCTTAAGACAATTTGGTTATGCTCGAAGGGATGGCCCGCACGAGATGTTGATTCAAGGTTTAGTATTCGACTACGACAATGACAATCAAGGTCTTCGCCAGAGATTCATCCGAGCTTGGAGGACATTAAACAAGGTGGATAGCAAGACTTTGGGACATAAGAATTCCATCCCTCTTGAGCCTTACCTCAAGTGGGTATGAACCCACACTCAAAGTATTATGATGCCTTATCCTTCCATCCTCCCGATGATCATTGAGCCTGTTAAGGAGGGAGAAGTTCCATACACTATCCTACATCCTGACATGCCCACATCTCTTGAAGACCTACAAAGGGATTGGATACAGCTCAAAGGGGAGTGTGATACTTTCGAAGCCAAATTCTACGCGAGCGAGAAGAAGGTTTCAGAACTCACTAGGCTACTTCGTGAAGAGCAGAATCTAAATGCCTACATTGCACCGAAGAGGGTGCGCACCACTTTTTATCTTAGAGAGTGTATTATTTTGTACTCAAACTCTATCTTATTAATATAATGTGTGTTCCTTTTTGTCTAAAACGAACTTGAATTTTTGAAATCCTTGAAAACATTGCATATGCACATATCATTCATCATAACATAAACAGGTCTTTTGCAACAAGTTCCCTCATCTCTCTGTTGTTTATTTCAGTAAGATGGATCTCGAACAGACAGTCAAAGATCTTCAAGCTCAAAACACGCAGTTTCAACAGTTACTCACAACCCTGGCCAAAGGACAAGAGGAGTTGAAGACTCTGTTGGCCAAAGAGAAGAAGAAGAAGAAGACGAAGAAGAAGAAACCAACCAGTGTTGTAATTATGGGGAGAAGGTTTCAAGGACAAACTAGAAGAACCTTGGATTTCGCAACAACATCTGATGAAAGAGAAGGAAAAAGAAAGGAAACAGCGGTTCCGTCAGAATCTTAAGAGGGGGAAGAAGAGGAAGATTACTCCGAAGAACAGTATCCACCAACTGATGATAAGTACAGACATCTTGAAGAGCGTCTGAGTGCTATGGAAGTACAGAGAGTACCAGGTCTAGACTTTGAAGAATTAGGTCTAGTGTCGGGAATTGTGATCCCACCAAAGTTCAAAGTGCCATTATTTGCAAAGTATGATGGGGTGTCATGTCCTAAGATGCACCTCCGATCATATGTAAGAAAGATCCAACCACACTCCGCTGATAAAGACTTGTGGGTGAACTTTTTCCAGGATAGTCTATCTAGAACATAACTCGATTGGTTTTACCAACTGGAAAGGGCCGACGTCCACAACTGGGAAGATCTTGCCGCAACTTTCTATAAGCAATACCAGTATAATGCAGATTTGGCGCCTACCCGTACTCAACTTAAGAGTATGGCTATGGTTTCCAATGAAGGTTTCAAAGATTACACGCAGAAGTGGAGAGATCTAGCTGGGAGAGTCCAACCCCCTCTGTCTGAAAGGGAATTAGTGGACATGTTATTAGGCACTTTATCAGGTCCTTTCTTAAACCATTTAATTGGAAGCTCATCTGCAGGATTCACTGAGTTAATACAGACTGGAGAAAGGGTGGAAGCTGGCATAAAAGTGGAAAGATTCAGAAGGATTCGTCTGCCTCTACAGCTGTGAAAAAACCTTTCACTGGGAAGAAGGAAGTATCTGCTATCTACCCACCAAGGAACCAAGGGAGAACTAAACACCGTCCAACGGTAGGTGCTGTTATGATCTCTAAGTCTGAACCTTCCCAATAAAGGATTAATCCACCGAGAACAGAAAGGCCGGTAAGACAGTTTACTCGGATAAACATGACTCTATCTCAAATCTTGCCACAGTTATTGAAGACCAATCCGGTAACTCTGAAGGAAGCTCCGAAAAATCCCAACACAACAACCCCTAATTATCACCCCAATTCCCGTTGCGCATATCACTCAGAAAGTCCTGGGCACGATACCAACAACTGTTGGGCCCTGAAAAACAAAATACAAGATCTCATAGAAGCAAAGGAAATCGAGTTTGATGCGCCCGAGAAGCCAAATGTTATCTCTGCTCCCAAGCCCAGACATGGCCACAACGCCAATGCTATTGAAGAAGACTTGTTTGTTACCACAGTTGATGAACTCGTGACTCATCTCCCAATCATTAAAGTAAACTTGTTGAAAGTCGGTGTGTTCTCGGGCTGTAATGAAGTTTGCCACCTTTGCTTATCCTCACGAACTGCTTGCCCTTTATTGAAAATAGGCATTCAATGCTTGATAGACAACAAAGAGATTTTGTTTGAATGTACTCATGTTTCACCTGTTTCTGTTGAAGACATTTCGATCATTACCATATCCTCCAATTCTTCCAGGGTTTCCAAAAAACCTGTTAGAATTACATTGGTTCCGAAAGTAACTCCTCTTATAATCACCATGCCTGGGCCAGTCCCATATGAATCAGACAAGGCCATACTGTGGAATTATGATGGGGACATTTATTACCATGGCATCAAACAAGATGGGCTGGCCGCCGAAGAAATGAGCTCCGAAAAAGAAGACTCCGACATTAGCAATATTGTCGGAACCAGTAAGATTACCCGTAGCGGTAGAATCTTCTCTCCAGAGATTGCCCCTCCAAAGGCAGTTTTTGGACCCGTGGCAGTTCCAAAGGTTACCTACATACCAATAATCATATCCTAAAGTACTCCTATCAACAAAGACGACACAACTTCTACTGCTGAAAATCGAGGAAAAAGTACTCAAGAAGAGCATGACCGGACGAAGGCTCAACCACTGACTATTCCCGAAGCTTCTAAGAAGGAAATGGAGGAGATCTTGAGAATAATAAAGAAGAGTGACTACGACGTAGTCTAGCAGTTGGGGAAGACTCCCTCCAATATCTCCATGCTGGCCTTGTTACTGTGCTCCGAGGCACATGCGAAAGCCCTGGTGAAGTTTCTGAAGACAGCCCATGTACCTCAAGAGATGTCTGCTAACCAATTTCAAAGTTGTGTGGCCAGTTTGACAGCGGATAACGGCCTAGGCTTCTCAGATGCAGACCTGACACCAAGGGGAAGAAAGCACAACGAGGCATTTCATGTCTCTGGAATGTAGAGGAACAACTCTGGCCATGTCTTGGTAGACACTGGCTTATCTCTGAATGTTTTACTGAAGAAAGCTCTCGACAGACTAGATTGCGAAGGACTGACGCTAAAACCCAGTAACATAGTCGTAAGAGCATTTGATGGCTCAAAGAGGATGGTCCACGGGGAAGTGGACATCTCCATAAAGGTTGGGACTCAAACTTTCAACTCGACCTTCTATGTAATGGACATTCGTCCCTCTTATTCTTACCTGCTAGGACGGTCGTGGATCTATAATACCAGCGCTGTCACCTCTACACTACACCAGATGCTGAAATATCCGGTCCATAGAAATATCATCATTGTCCATGGAGAGGAAGAATATATGATTAGTCACCTTAATTCCTTCAGGTATGTGGAATTGGATGGTGAGTTCATTGAAACTCCTTTTCAACATTTCGAAGAAGTTCCCCAAGAGGTAGCAGTAACCAAAACTGTGTCCCAGATTCCCGAGATTACAAAAACTCCACTTCGGATGTCATCTCTGAAGGACACCAAAGCCGTAATTGAGTAAGGAGGATGCACCATCTGGGAGAAACTTCCAGACATCCCGTATAAGTCTGACAGGTTTGATTTAGGGTTCACTTCAAGTACTCAGAAAGCTGTGCGTCGCGCCCGTGCTGGAGAGCCCCCTTTGAAGATTAGCAACCGGGAGGTCAATGCAGTAGAAGACAGTGAAGAGGATTGCAGCTTGGAGGATTGGATATTTCCTACTATCAACGGAGGACTTCGCAATTGGGAAGCCAGAGACTTTGTTCTGATAACTTTCGTCCCTCAGTAACTTATCTTCCACATTTCTGTTGGATTTGTAATATTCACAAACAATTCGCATATTTTAAACCTTGTGTCTTTCCCGAGGCACAATGGTCCATTTGTAAGGGTTGTCATTTCATCTTCATATGACATTCAATGAATCACATACGTTTTGCATACAAACTTTTGTGCTCATTATTTTTCTTTTATATTTATTCTCCTTTAAAAACATGGCTATACCCTTACACACACCCACACTCACAAATTCAGGTACCCATCCACTCTGGATCCCATGGGAAACGATAATTCTATGGCCTTTCATGACTCAGGATCTAATCTACCAAGCCGAAGACGAAGGTGAGGAAGATTGTGAAGTACCAGGGGAACTTGTCAGACTACTACAGCGAGAGGAAAGAGCTATTCAGCCCCATGAGGAACCGGTGGATACAATCAACTTAGGTACCGAGGAGAATAGAAAAGAGGTCAAAGTAGGTGCTAATCTAGAGGCCAGCGTCAAGGAGCGTCTGATTCAGCTACTACATGATTACGTTGAGATCTTTGCCTGGTCATATGAAGACATGACGGGACTTGATATAGACATCGTGGTACATTGCCTGCCAACAAGAGAAGACTGTCCACCAGTGAAACAAAAAGTCCGCCGCATGAGACCTGATATGTCAGAAAAGATCAAAGCGGAAGTCATGAAACAATTCAATGCTGGATTCTTGGCTGTCACTTCCTATCCCCAATGGGTTGCCAACATTGTTCCCGTGCCTAAAAAGGACGGCAAAGTACGAATGTGCATGGACTATAGAGATTTGAATAGGGCTAGCCCTAAAGATGATTTTCCACTTCCCCATATAGATATCTTCGAACATCCCACCTGCGTTTGAATTTCAAATGTTTTGGCACTCTTCGTTCCGAACTCATTTATTGGACACAGCCTTGTTACCATTTCGAGACTTCTTTGAATATATCCCCATAATTGTCACTCGAAGCTCAGAGTTTTGACATGCCCATTCGAAGCACTGCTTCTACCATTTCAAAACATGACATCTTGCTTTATTCCAATCGAAACATCCAACTTGCTTCGCTTCGAACAAAATCATCAAAATCTTCAGCCAACAAAATGCCCCTTTAAAATATGTATTTCGATTCCTTTGAGAAATACTTATTTTAAACATATACGCAAGATTTTGATGCGACCTTTGAATCATCGTAACATTTATTGCATATGACTCCAGTCACGTTAATCATGACGCTTTTCAGATTCCTTAACCGCCTTGAACCATTTCACAGCATGGTGCAGTTACAAAACAATGATTATTATTTAATCACGCCTATTATCAATATTAACTTTTACGCCACCTCCTTCTCAATCCAACCCACGACTCCCACGTATCCCAATCTTACTCAGTGGATGTTTAAACTTCCGCACTATAAAAACCCATCAACTTAGTATTTTATTTTTTTCTTCCCACATTCTGAATCTTTTCTTCCTCTCTTCTCACCGAAACCCTAAAACTTCCAACACTCTTCAAACAATGTCTTCTTCAACATCATCTCAACTGAAAAAAGCTTCCAAAAAGAAAGGAAAGAACACAGGAGCCATAATGGAAAGCAAGGTTGGCACCTATCAAGGTCAGTCTGTGCTTATTCCCCAGATGATCTCCAAAGAGAAGGAAATGCTCTACGCATCTCAGGTACTAATTCCCACTAACGCCGCTGGCAAGAGGTTAGCTTTAATGGGCCCTCTTACAGTCTTTGAAATCTTAAAAGATACCAGAAAAATCTTTCCTGTTTGTTATAATTTTAAACCTTTGTTCAATAAAATGGATACCCCTAAGACAGGGGAGTCTTCTGATTCGACCACCGTGGAAACTCCAATCATTCCCCCAAAGGACCCTTTTGTGCTAGATTATGTGAAGAGTAACTTCAAACCATTTCGATCCTGCCCCACCTCTAACACAGCCTACCACAACTGGTTTACTAAAGTAGAAGCCAAGAAATCCCAGCAATGGGAGGAATTAGGCATTTACAACTTGATTAAATTATCGAAACCAGGCTTTACCTATAGCCACCCATTATTATTTGCGTCCTTATATTTCTGGGACAGTACATACAACACCTTCCATCTCCCTGGGGGAATGATTACACCCACCTTTTTTGACATAGCAGCCATTACTGGTTTGTCACCAGTAGGAGAAACCTATATTCCTGACAATGAAGAGCATTCGAGCATTATTGACTTCGAAGTCAAATTAGCCAGCTTTTCAAAGTTCATCAGCCACTATCACACTGAAGGAGACAGTGTGTCATATGTGGAACACATTGCTTTCCTTATCTTATGGTTATCAAGGTATGTCTTTTGCAGCAGGTCCCTACAAGTAGCCAGTAGGTTCATTCCTCTAGCTAGAGATTTACATGAGAATCGGAGGGTGTGTTTAAGCGAACTGTTACTTGTTGATCTTTACAAAAGTTTAAGATCAGCAGTTTCGAGTTTGAAATCTCACACTCCCAAAAACATCCTGCTAGCTGGCCCCTTCTGGTTACTCCAGTTATGGCTTAATGCCATGTTTGAACCTTCACTATCAACTGCTAATACTATTGTGGAACAAGATCCGGAGATAACGGACATAATCATTGAAGGTACTAGGCTGCGAAGACTTACCCCAAACGATGACAAAGATGACTTCAAAGTTCTCTTCTCAAAATACATAATGATCTTCTCCAAGAGACACAAATTCGAAGAGACCATGGCGCCCTTTGCCTCAAGGACTCATGGACCATCATGGTTCACCATGGCTCTCTCAAAAGCAATCAAAAGCAAAGAAATTCAAGATGTATGGAAAGCCTTTTTGCTTCCCAGACTAATCTCCTCACGCATCACCCCCTCAAAGAACCAAATCTTCCTTTTTGCTTATCAACCCAATTTTGTTTCTAGACAATTTGGCCTATGCCAACTAATCCCTGAACCCCTGTTCCAAACAGAAAGTGCCATCACCTCTGGGCGAACCTTCAAAGCGAGAGAAGCTAAACTACAACAGGAACAATATCAAGGCTTCGCCCACTTTGAACTAATATCCTTCGAACCTACACACCTCACAGCAAAGGGTTTTCTGGAATGGTGGACAAAGTTCTACCAATCTTGTATGTTCGACACTCTCACCATTCAACAAAAACTAACTGATGCGTTCGATGTGCAGGTACACTCCAAGAAAGGTATGTTCACTCATGCCAAAGAGATTAGGGCTTTTCAAAATTATTTCGAAATCCCTTATGATCCCACACACTTGGAATCCACTGTGCATCAAGCTGCTAAGGCCTTGAAGGAAAAATTTACAGAAAAAATTTCTAAACTCAAACTTCCTTCAGGGTTGTCACCTGAGGATAGGTATAGGTTGGCATTCGAAATGCATCCACCTAAATTTCCTAGATTGCCTACCTCAGAACTGGCTCTGGCTTGGTTTCCTCCATACCCTTGGTGGTTCACTTGCAAAGAAATGTTCAAATATCTTCAAAAGAAACCAAAGCCATCTGAGACTGTGACATGGGCTCGTTATTGGCTCCACGATTTCCCTGGACATCTTCGCTATGACCTTTCTGCCATGTCGATTAAATCTGATCAAGGCGCAGGTGCGAATGCTTGGGAAAATCCCAAATGTTTCTCAATTTCTACATTTTAAACTTTTACCTTAATTGTTTCGATTTTCAACCATCAGGATAAAGACCACTGCTTCAAAGTCTAAAGAGGGAAGCGCTTCTCAAACATCTGTCAAAACTATTGATAATGTGACTCTATCC